TCTATTCATTAAGAGAATGTAACTATATATCTATCCTAACCACTTTGAATACACAGATACAAAATGGACATTCATCTGTATACCCTTTTTTTGTTTTGCTTTTTGTTTTTTGAGAAGGGTCTTGCTATGTAGTTCAGGCTGGCCTGGAACACGTCCATTAGCCCAGGTTGACCTCATTCTTGTAGCAATCCTCCTGCCTCAGCCTCCCCTGTGCTGTGATTATAGGCCTGCACTACCACGCCTGGCTCTGGCTCAGATACTTTGGTATTGTGGTATTTTGTAAAAATTCTGGCTTCTGGCCAGGCATGGTGGCACAGAACTGTAATCTCAGCACTCAGGAGGCTGAGGCAGGAGGATCACTGTGAGTTTGAGGCTACCTTAGGCTACATGGTTCAAAGCCAGCCTGGACTACATAGCAAAACTCTATCTCAAAACCAAACCAAACCCACAAAAACAAAAACAAAAACCTAAATATATCGCTGAAATACAAAAGGCTGGGGCTGGAGATGGCTCAGTGGTCTAAAGCACCTACTTGGAACAAGCTTGGTAAAGCACAGGGACCGCGGTTCAATCCCCCAGCACCACATGCCAGCCTGCCCCGCCCCCTGGTGGGCTGAGCTGGCCACACACACACACACACACACACACACACATAAATAAATAAATAAATGTAAAAAAAAAAATACAAAGGGCTGTGGAAGTCCTGGGTTTGATTTCCAGCACAAAAAGAAAACAAAAGCAAAGGCAAAAATTGTAAGGTTTGGGTAAGGTTACAAGAAGGTGTTGTAAGGTTTTGTGGGTCCTGCATGGCTTCAAAGTATGGAAATTGAATCCTCTTGTGAGGGACAAAGAGGGTAGGAGCTTAGAACAACTGCTTTAGAGGCAGGGCTTTGAGAGCCGGTCATGATTAGAACGTCAGCCGGGCTTGGTGGTGTATGCCTATACTCCCAACACTTGGGGAGGTTGAGGCAGGAGGATCACCCCAAGTTCGAGGCCAGCATGGGTTACATAGTGAGTTTGAGGTTAGCCTGAACCACACAGTCAGACCCTGTCTCAGAAAAAGGGCATCAAGGAGGAGCTTGGGATCCTGGTGGCTTTATAAGAGAGCGAGCCCGGGACATGGGTGCCATCTGTATCTCATAGTGTTATGCCCTCTGCCAGCTTGGGGCTGTGCCAGCAGAGGTTGTTGCTTGAACCTTTGGACTGCCAGTGCTGAGAGCTAAATTAACTTCTCTTCCTTCAGGGCCATCCAGCCTCAGCTAGCACATGACGGTCCGAGCTCCCCCAGGCACGCACAACCCCATGCGGTGCCTCCTGCCCGCGCACGGCCTGTGAGTGTGAGGGTGTCCTCGTGATTGGCCTAGACGCTCAGTCAGAGTAGTTGTTTTGCAGAGCTAATTAAGGCGCTTCTTAGTTGGTTATGAGGGAACCAAAAGAAGGTGTCTCAAGTGGGCCAGTCCTACAAGGATACAGGGATTCAGAGGTTGCTGTTTTTATCTTTGTTTTTTTGTCTTTTTGAGACAAAGACTCACTATGTACTTCAGGCTGACCTTGAGCTCACTTTGTAGCCCAGGCTGCTCTTGAACTCGAAACGATCCTCCTGCCTCAGCCTCCCGAGTGCTGGGATCATAGGTGTGCACCACTGTGCCCAGCTTGTCATGGTTTTTGTTTACATAAGGCTGGGAATGGAACCCAGGGCTATAAGCATGCCAACCCTCTGAGCCACACCATGCCAACTCCTGAGCCACACCATGACTCCATCCTGATGATTTATTTATTTATTTATTTATTTATTTATTTATTTTTAAGACACAGTCTTGTTACATAGTGCAAACTGGTTTTGAACTTGTGATCCTCCTACCTCAGTCTTCTGAGTGTGGAGATTACAGGCAGCTGCCACCATGCCCGGCATCCTGTTGGGTTTGCAGAGTCAAACTGCTGGGTGTGGTAGCATATGTCTTTAATCCCAGCAGTCAGTAGGCTGAGGCAGGAGGATCACAGGTTTGAGCCTAGTTTGGGCAACTTAACCACTTGGCAATGCCACTTCAAAAAAATAAAGGGGATGGGGCCAGGGAATGTAGCTCATTGGGAAGGGCCTGGGTTCAATCCCCAGTGAGAAAGGAGGTGGGGTGGGGTGGGGCAGGGAACACAACAGGAAAAGCAAGGCCCCAAATCAACCTAAATATATATAGGAACTTTGTAAATTCCAAAGGCATGTCTTGGACCCGATGGCGGAGGGGGGATGGGACGCCCTGTCCACAGTATTGAAACAATTGCCTGGCTGCAAAAGGTCAAAGCTGGATGCTTAGCTCACAGTAGGAAAAGGGAGGGAGGAGGAGGGAAAGGGGAGGGAGAAGGAAGGGAGGAGATGGAGGAGGAGGAGAAGCAAGGGGGACTGGGAGGAGAAACTAGAAGACAGGAGGAGGAGAAGGAGCCAGGAGGCAGAAGAGCCACCGCTCACCTCCATGGGGTTGATGAGCGTCTGGGAGATGGCCACAGCCAGAGAGCCGGCCAGCAGCCGCTCCTGGAAGGGTGGAGACCCGTGCTCGCCGCAGAAGTAGTTCTTACACTGGGTGGGAGAGAGCGTGAGAGAAGCCGCTGCTTCCTGCCCTGGACCCAGCCAGTGGGGGGGAGGGGGGGGGCTGTGGGGCCCGGCCTCACCCACCTGCTCGAAGACTGCAAACTTGATGGCGTACTCAGGTGCGATCTTGAGCACGTTAATGCCGTTGCCCCTCCACAGCGAGTGCACGCCCCCCTCCTGGACCATGCTCCTGAGCCCTCCGAGCAGGTTCAGGAGGTTGTTCCTGGAGGAGTAGACCTGGGGGCCCGTGAGGACCCTCCGGCCCCTCGCCTGCCTCCTGGGCACCCTCCCTGAGCTCCTGACCAGTGCCAACCTGGTTCCCATCCTCGTCTTCTCTGCAGTCCTTTTGTCGTCTACTTTCAGTATTGAAGGTTAGACCGGAAGCCTTTGCACACTGAGCTACATTCTCAGCCCCCCAGCCCTTTTTTCTTTCTTTTTGAGACAGGGTCTCACTATGTAATTCAGGCTGCCTTAAGCTCACTTGGTAGCCCAGGCTGGTTTTGAACTGGCAATGATCCGCCTGCCTCAGCCTCCCGAGTGCTGGGATTACAGACGTGTGACACCTGTGGCATCAGATTAGTCTTCAAAACCCATCTCTAAACCCCTGCCCTGTCCCCATCCCCAATTACCTGGTCTCCAAAACCTCAGCCCAATGTGAACCTTGCATCCTGTCCCCAACACAGCTCCAATCCCAGTGTCACCCCACGAGGGCAGCCTCCATCCCGTCTGTCCCCTTCTGGATTCCATCCAGGCCACCTCCACCATCCCCAGGGTGCCCCCCCAACCTGTGGTCCCGCGCTGTGCTGTACACACACCTGCATGTACACCTTGGCGCGGTCCAGAGGCGCAGTGCCTGTGCGGGAAACTGCCCCGGCCATGGCTCCCGACAGCAGGAACTTCCAGAGGGCGCCGTTGTTCTGCACCTCCAGGACCTCCACAGGGACCATCAACTGCTCTCCTGTGTCCAGCACCTGAGGGAAGACCCAGCCCGGGTGGGTCCTTGGCCACCCTGCAACTTCTGTCCTGGTCTGGACCCCCTTGGTCCCCAGACTCACCTGCTGTGATGGGAGATGGTCGGGATGGTCCACACCCACGTGGCCAAACACGTAGCCATACACGTGGGTGCAGCCGGGGCTCCAGGAGGAGGGTGGGGGTGGGGGTGAGGGCGGAGGTGGGCAGGGGGGCTTGATGAGCCAGGTTGAGTCAGAGTTTTGCGTGTCCTCAGGACCAGAACCCATGGCAGCTGGAGGTTCACACACGTGAAGCGAAACCGTGCAGCTGCCAGGTGGGAGCGGCAGGTGGGAGCACCTGGTGTACCAGGGGGGACGGGGGTGAAGTCACAGAGACCCCTGTGACTTCACAGGGTGTGGTAGCAGAGCAGTGGACCACCCTGCCCTCCAGCCCTGCACACAGGTCATGGCAGTGGGCTGGATTGTGTCCTGCCAAAAGCCTAGTATTAAAGCCCCCTCAGTAGCATAGAATTTGGAGGTTGGGCATTTTGGGAGGACATGGTGCTGGAATCTGTATGATGGGCTTAGTATGCTTAGTTTTTCTTGTTTTGTTTTTTCTTTTTGAGACTGGGTCTCACTATGCAGTTCAGGCTGGCCTTGAGCTCACTCTGTAGCCCAGGCTGGTCTTGAACTGGCAGTGATCTTCCTGTCTCGGCCTCCCTAGTGCTGCAATCCCAGGCGTGTGTCACCATGCCCAGCTCTTGCTGTGTCACCTTGAAGTTTCTTTGGGTTCCCCCTCTCTGAGCTTTAGTCTCCCTTTCTGCAACTGAAGGCATCAACTGCAGCGTGCATTCATGCCTTCTGTTGAACACCCAGGTTCTCAGAATCACTGCGGTCAACAGCCAGGTGTGCCAGTGTGTGTTGAGCTACCGCTGTCGCTGGGCTCTGTGAGACTCGCCACCAGAGGGCGCTGTGAGCACAGAGCCTGCTCTTCCCTCCTCTGCCCTCCAAGGGCTCCCACCTTCCAGGACCAAAGCCTCAGCCCCTGCGTGGCCCCTCGTTCCCTGCTCCCCTCCCCTCTCTCCACCCTCCTCACTCTGCACCAGCCACACAACCCCCCTGCCTAGATTGCTTCTCAGACTGCACCACAGCATTGTCCTTTACCACCTTTTTTTTTTAATATTTCTTTTATTATTTATTTATTTTTACATTTATTTACAGTGTGTGTGTGTGTGTGTGTGTGTGTGTGTGTGTGTCCAGCTCAGCCCACCAGGGGGCGGGGTTGGCTGGCATGTGGTGCTGGGGGATCGAACCGTGGTCCCTGTGCTTTGCCAAGCTTGTTCCACAGGTGGGTGCTTTAGACCACTAAGCCATCTCTCCAGCCCCTTTACCACCTTTTAAGTCTCTATTCAAATGGTCACCTTTTAACGTAGTCTTCCAGGACCACCCTATTAAAGCTCTAAACTAGCCTTGCAGTGTTACCCCCTCACCCCTTCTGCTTTTATTCATCACCCCTTTGATTTCTACACTATTACATATTTACTCATTTATTCTTGGTTTCTTCCAGTTGGAAACAGGAGCAGTGAGAACAGTGGTTTGTGTTTCTTTGGTCCACTTCTGCATCCCACACCTAGACCCGAGTCTGGCTCCCACTACACGCTCAATAGCATGAGGACAGAGGCTCGGTTCGGGGAGAAGAGAGCGTCTCACAGGTGGGCGGAGGCAGTGGACACCAGGTGGATGTACCAAGTGTCTCTGACCTTTAGTTTTTCTTTTTTTAGATAGGATCTCACTGTGTAGTTCAGGCTGACCTTGAACTCACTGTGTAGCCCAGGGTGGCCTCTAACTCACAGAAATCCCCCTGCCTCAGCCTCCCAAGCGCCGGGATTACAGGCAGATATGCCACCATACCCAGCTCTGCTCTTAAATGTAGCAGCAGAATTTATGTCATGTATGTTTTACCACAATAAAAATATTAAAAAATTATTTCTGTGATGATTGTAATTATCACATACTGCCAGCATGTACTAAGAACAATACATGCTCTTGAAAGAAATTATTTTTTGTACCAGGGATTGAACTCAGAACCTTGCACTTGCCAGGCAGGAGTTTAAGCCACTGAGCTATCACCCTGGCCCTTGAGAGAAATTCTTGAAGCCACCCAGTCTGTGTGGGCCTAGAATCCCAGCACTTTGGGAGGCTGAAGCAGCAGGGTCATAAGGCTAAGCCCAACCTGGGCTATTTAGCTATTTAGTGAGTCCCTGCCTCAGAATGAAAATAAAAAAGGGTAGGGGGAGGTAATTCAGTGTCAAGGCCCTGGGTTTAATTCCCAGTGTGTGTGTGTGTGTGTGTGTGTGTGTGTGTGTGTGTGTGTGTCTGTATCTCAAAGCCATTCATTTTTGTAGTAATATGTTGTGGCAGCTAGGAAATTTAGAAGCATATGGAATCAGAAAACTAAAATTAGAAGAGGTCATGCTGGGGGTGGTGGCACATGCCTGTAATTCCACCACTTGGGAGGCTGAGGCAGGAGGATCACTGAGTCACGGCCAGCCTGGGCTACATAGCTGGACATATACAAGGCCAGCCTGAGCCTGTCTCAGAAAACAAAGACACAAGATCCTGAACGCTCTGCTTTGTAGATAGCTGTGGAAACTGCGCTCCAAATCTCATGGAGTTCACCTCTCCAAGTGAGATGGGAACAGCCACTGTCCCTGCCCTGTGGCTTAACTAGGTTTCATCCATCCACTTTTCAGAAAAACAAAAAGCCACAATGAAAGAGCTTAGAAAATTTATTCTTTCTGTTTTTCTTTCTTGTTTCCTTTTAAGTAACACACACAGACCGGGCATGGGGTGAGGTGGAGGTAAAGGAGGTGGAAGCCTTACGGGTCCTCCAGCCCCCTGACATCCCAGTCCCTCTTTCACAGTCCCTTCCTGGGGTCCCCTAAGGACTGGGAGGAAAAAGGGGGCCCAGTTCTAAGCTCAGAACAATTCTAAAGTGCAGAGGTGTGGGGTGGGAGGGCTGGGGGGGTCAGGCTGGTGCAAGGGGGCTCTTTGCACCTCTCTCTGGTAGAAAAATAGACCACAGGTGAGTTTGGGGGTTCGGCTTTTTGTTCGATTGTTTCTGCATCCTGGGATGCAGGGGCTTAGATATGCGGATCTGCTCCCGGCTCATTCATCTTTGAAGTCCCGGAGGGGAGGGGCTGGCAGTGTGTTGAGGGGGGGGGGAGGAACCCGTATTGCGACACCGTCTCAGGCTGCCTGTTTGCCAGAGCCGAGGCTGGGGGGGGGGGGCATAAGGGTACACTATGTACAGGGAGGGAAAGTAGGACAAATGTGGGGGGGGGCTTGTGGAGGGGTGCGTAGGGGTCTGGCATCTGGGAGCCACGTCTCACCCTTCCTTCCAAAGCTCTGATCGCCTGAGTTTTCTGGAGCAGGGGCTGGGCATCCCGGGGGCTGCCTTGATCGTGTGACCCTTCAGGGAGCAGGCCTGTGTCTAGGATGGCGTGCGTGCGTGTGATCTGGGATGCAGGGGTTAAGGGCTTGGGACCCAGTGCCCAGGAGGGTTAGCATGTGTCCCCATGGGTAAGACCTCAGTAGCCAGTGCCTGGGGCGAAGGAATGTAGAGTCTGGACTCTGGATTCCAGCAGCTTCAGCTGGCTGTGGTATTGGGGATTGGGAACTTGGGTGTCAATGGTCAGTTGGGAGCTGAGGGTGGGGTGCTGGAAATGTAGGACTGCACAGTCAAAGCAGAAGGTCTTAGGACCTAGGGTCAAGGTAATGGAATTCAGGAATCCAGTGGTCGGGTGCAGGGGGATCTGGGATCCAGTGGGGGCCCCAGGATCTAGGCACTGCATTGTCAGATCCTGTAGCTGAGGTTTGGTGGCATCCAGAATCCAGTGGCTGAGCCTGGAGATTCAGGGCTTGAGGCGCGGCCATCTGCGACTTGCCAGGGGGTAGGGATCGAGGCCCCAGTGCTGTACAAGGGGTCTGGATCTGGTGCCTGAGGGATCTGGGGGCCGAGTGATGAGGTACGGAGGACGTGTGCTCCAGTGGTCGGGGATCCAGTGCCAAGACGGGGGTCCAGGATCCAGGGGGCGGTACAGGGAGCTGTGGGATCCACCTTTGGGATGTGGGATGCAGGATCCAGGGACTTGGGGGACCAGGCATTAAGGGCTAGGTAAGGTGTGGATCATATGGGATCTTGTGGTTCCGGTGTCTGACTCGGGCCGCTGAAGTATGGGCTCCAGCGGGGGAGGGGGCGGTGTCCTAGAGCTGGGATACTGGGATCCAGTGCTGTGGCTGGGGTGGATTTGCATCCCCTGTTGGGATGTCAGGCGTCCAGTGGCTGAGGATGTCAGTGTGGGGGACATCGCAAGGGTGAGGGGATGGGGTGGGAAGGGGCTCCGGTCCCTCACCTGGACGTGACCCCCAGGGCTTGCTTCATGTTCTCGTAGACCACATAGGAGATGCTCACAGCTGGAATGACCTTCATGAAGTTGGGGGCGATGCCCCGGTAGAGGCCCCACACGCCCTCGTGGGACAGGATGTGCCGCAGCAGACCCATCATGGAGAGCTGCGGGGCGCCCTGGATGGAGGCTGGGGGGGCCGGCAGGTGAGGAGGAGTCCCCCTCTTTTCCCCCTCCTACCCCCAGGGCTACCAGGTGCCACTGCGGCAGGAGGGAGGAGGGGTAGCACGCAACCGCAGGACTCCCGTGGGCCACGGCACTGGTGCCATGCAGAGCCCAAGTTTGGGGTGAACAGAAACAGAACCGGTGCGTGCGTGCGTGCGTGCGTGCGTGCGCATGCGTAGTGGGAGAGGGCAGAAGCGTCTTCTTCTCAGGACCCCACCCCCCATCTGCCTACCAGCCTAACTCTAGGCATATGCTCACCAGCTGTATTCACAAGCCAGCCCTTTGAGGAACCCCTCCACGGCACCCCTAGGCCAGGTTTCCCCCATTTCCCCTTTATCCCTGAAGCCACACTTCACGGGAGAATATTTTATTTCCAAGCTTTCTGCCTCTTTACCCTGTACCTGGGACCACATCTCTTACCCACAAATAGCTCTCCAGTAAAAAGCATGAAACACAAATGCTAAAATACCCATAGAAATAGATTGTGGAGGGGGAAGAGAACCCCCTCTTCCCCCCCCCAAAAAAAAAAACAGTAAAGAAAAATGCAAAGAACCGCAGCCAGGCAGGGCCCTCGCTCCCCTTCATTCTGCTCCCAGCCCGCTGCACATTGTCACCCAGCCTTGCAAACTGGAACTCGAGTTGCCCTCCTGGAAAAGCCAGGGCTTTGCCAACAGCGGCCTCAGCTCAGCTAAGACTCCCAGCATGCTCTGCCCAGGCTCCCTCGGCTGTCCTGCTCGCTAATCCTCAGCTCCTCAGGGTAACAGACGCCACTGGCAGTGCCAAAAATGGGTCATCTGAGGCCTCGTGCCAAGGCAGGGACTTACCAAGGCCTCCCACATCCAGGAGAACCCCAGCCCCGGGGCTCTGCCACTAAGGAGCCAGGGAGGGAGGAGGCCCAAGCAGAGGTTTCCTGCCTCGTGCTGCCTGCCGGCCGGCTCTCACCTTGAGCCTGCATTCGGGTCCGGACCAGAGCCAGGGGGTAGCTGGCGATCTGGCCGCAGGTGCTGGAGATGGTGCCGCAGGCCAGGAGCACGGGGATCCCCGGGTTGGCCGATTCCTGGCTGTACTGCTGGAGCCACCGGTTCTTGAGGGTCTGGAGTGAGAAGGGGAGGGGTGGCAGGTGGCAGGAGCCTGGCTGCAGGGACCTCCCAGGTGGCTCTGCATCCTGTCAGTGACAGCCAGAAGTGATGGAGCACAGAGCACCTGCCCAGGCCAGGCCAGCATTTTACCTCCATCCCTTCCCGGAACCTCAGCTGCCCCTGGGAGGGGCTGGGTGAGGCCCCCACTGCGCAGGCGTGGGGCAGGAGGCCCCAAGTGCAGGATTCGGTTCTGTGGCAGGCAACCAGGCTTTGCAGACTGGGAGGCGTCGAGGGCTTTGGGATGGGACATCATCCTGGCTCATCTGAGGGGTCCACTGTCATCACATTTGTGTGTGGGAAACTGGGACGGAACCTAGGGCCTTGACACTGAGTGACATCCCCAACTCTTTTTATTTTATTTAGTTGTTTTGGGACAAAGTCTTGCGGGTTAACCCGTTCAGGCTGGACCGAACTCACTAAGTAGCCCAGACTGGCCTTGAACTCCTGGCTATCCTTCTGTCTCAGCCTCTGGAGTGCTGGGATTATAGGCAGGTGCCACTATGCTCAGCTTCTTACTTTTTCAGAGAAGGCTTGCTAGATCGCTAAATTACACAGGCTAGGCTCTAACTTGTGATTCCCCTGCCTCAGCCTCCCAGAGTGCTGGATAACAAGTGTGCAGCACTATGCTTTGCTTCGGTGGTCTTTATGAAGGGTCTTAAAGGGAGGGGTGGGTACAGCAGCCTCTTACTAAATGGACAAAAACTGAAAGCTTTCACTCTAAAATCAGGGACAAGACAAGGATATCCACTGTCTCCACTATTATTCGCTCTTCTTCAGTTCTGGAAATGTTAGCCAGAGCAATTGGACAAGACTGGAGTAAAAGGACTTAGGATAGGAAAGGAAGAAGTTAAATTATCATTATGTGTTGCTGACCCAAACTGTACATAGCAGATGCCAAAAACTCTGCCAAAAGACTTCTAGATTTAATAACCAAATTGAGTAGTATAGCTGCATACAAAGTCAATACTCAAAGAAATCAATAGCATTGGGCTGGGGAGATAGCTCAGTGGCTTAAGCACCTGCCCAGCAAGTGCAAGGTTGCAAGTTTGATCCCTGGTATTGCAAAAAACAAACAAACAAAAACACAAAACAGTAGTATCCCTATACACAAATAAACTTACTGAGAGAAATAAAAGAGACAACATTTTTCACAAGAGCATCCAAACACAAACAAAACAAAACACCCTAGGTATCTAACAAAGGAAGTAAAAGAACTTTAGATTGAAAATTATAGGCTAGGGAGTTAGCTCAGTGGAATAAGAGCTTGCCTGGAAAGCACAAGGGCCTCAGTTCAATCAATCCCTGGTTCCAGAAAAAAAAGAAAGAAAGAAAGAAAGAAAGAAAAGAAAAGAAAAGAAAAGAAAATTACAAAGAGAATAGCAGAAAATGCAAAGCCAGGTGTGGTGGTACACAGCTATAATCCTGGGAGGCCGAGGCAGGACGATCACCGCAAGTTCAGGCCAGCCTGGGCTACCTAGTGAATTGAAGGCCAGTTTGGACTATAAAATAAGAACTTGCCTCAAAAAAGAAAAAAAGTCTCTTGTCTCAGGTAGGAAGAACTAATATAGTAAAAATGGCCATATTTTTAAAAAGTTTTATACAGATTTAATGAAACCCTGATTAAAATACCAATGGCATACCTCACAGAATTAAAGAAAATAATCCTAAAATTCATTTGGAGCCAGAAGAGACCTAGAATAGCAAAAATAATTCTGGGCAACAAAGGCAAGGCAGGGGACCTCACAATCCCTGACTTGAAATTATACTACAAAGCTGCAGTGATAAAAACAGCATGGTACTGTTTAAAAAAATAAAAACAAAACACCAGCCCTAGGATTGATGGAACAGATTAGCAGGTGCAGAAACAACTCCAAACACACTCAACCACCCTGTCTTTGACAAAGGAGCCGAACATTTTCACTGGAAGAAAGACCACCTCTTTAATAAATGATGCTGGGGGTGCTGGGGAGGTAGCTTGATGGCCTAAGTGCCTTCCTGGAAAGTGCAAGGACCTGAGTTCAGTCCCCAGACACATGCTGTGATGGCCCCAGAACCCCTGGTGCACTGTGCCAGCCCTGAAACCGGGCATGGTGACGCAATCCTGTAATCCCAGCTCTGGGGAAGCTGAGACAAAGAGGATCACTATGAGTCTGAACTATGTAGCAAGACCCTATATCAAAATATTAAGTAATTAAATAAATGATGCTGGGAAAACTGGCTTTCCACATGTTGAAGAGGCAAACTAGACCCACATCTTTCACGATGCACTAAGCTGAAATCAAAATGGCTGAAAGATCTAAATAACAAAACAGAAATACTAAATCTGCTGGAAGCTAGAATAGGTAGAACTCTTGGTAGACAGAACTCTTGGTAGGTAGAATAGGTAGACATTGATATAGGAAAGACTTTATAAACAAAACCCTGATCGTACAGGAAGTACTGCAGGAATCAACAGCTGGGATATCACCTTATTAAGAAGCTTTGGTGGGGCCAGAAAGATAGCTCAGCAGACTAAAGTGCTTGCTTAGGCAAAGCTCAGGGACCGAGGTTTGATCCCTGGCACCACATGCAGTACCAGCCCCACCCCCAGGGCAGTTTGAGTCTGGGCATGGTGGCATACCCCTGTAGTCCCAGCACTGGGGAGGCAGAAAGCAGGAGGACTGCCACGGGTACAAGCTGCTTGGTGAAACCCTGTAACAGCCAAATACATTTAAAAAAAAAACTAAAACAAAACAACAACAAAAAAAACTTTTGGCATAGAAGAAGACACTACAACAGAGTGAGAAAACTCAGTGTGAGAAAGAAAAATTATTTCTGAGACAAGGACTCATTATGTGAGCTTGTCTAGAACACACAGTGACCCTCCTGCCTCAGCCTCCTGAGTGCTGGGCTTTCCAGGCCTATGCTGAGACCACACTCCTAAGTGAAGAAGGTCAGAGACACATTGTTTCTCTGGTCTGAGAAACAAAGTGTAAAGAAGGACGCGGTGAAACAGAACAAGGGAGGGGGGAGAGGAAAGGAACTAGAGGCAAAAAACAAACAAACAAACAAACAAAAACCCAAAAAAACCCACAAAACATAAAATGGAAACAAAGCTTTTATAAATAAAGAAGGGAAGGGAGGTTGAAGGGAGGAGAGGGAAAAGGAAGTGAGGTAAACTGTCTATGATGAATGATATTATGTGTATCAGAAATGTATTGGGCCAGGGAGATGGCTCATTGGAATAAGCACTTCTTTGGCAAGCTCAAGGGCCTGAGTTCAATCCCCGGTTCTGCCAAAGAAATAAAAATAAAAAAATAAATTTGAAACATCA